TGTGTGTGTGTGTGTGTGTGTGTGTGTGTGTGTGTGTGTGTGTGTGTGTGTGTGTGTGTGTGTGTGTGTGTGTGTGTGTGTGTGTGTGTGCCGCTGTTACCAGGCACGGCTGTCACTACCCGATCTGTACTGCGCATGTGCGAGATGGTCCGCCATACTGGACAACTACATACTGCCAAACAGAAGTTAAATCCATTTCTCACTTATTCTGACAATGTACTTAACCCCAAATAAAAGAACCCAATAAAAAGAGTTGTTAAATAATAGTGAAGTCACGTTGTAATAACAATAACTCATCTCTCTCGGTTTTTTTAGTTTTCTTTTTGTGCTTTGCCAAACGCCACTGTGTCAAGTGTCCTAGTTGGGTTGCCGTACGGAGTTGTGCAGTATGGCAGACCATCTCGCACATGCGGAGTACAGATCGGGCAGATCGGCAACAGCGATAATTAAAGTTTCAAAGTTTTGGGGGGTCGTAAATTCCAACAGGAGTCATTTGGGGGGGCCCTGGGTGAAAAAGGTTGGGAACCCCTGCTCTAGACGGCAGTGTTGCTGAACTGCACCCACTGCATAGAATGTGCATTTATGATGCTCTGCAGGAACATTTAAATCACTTTTTTAACCTCTTTATTTTACCCTTAAAGTTTATTTTACTGCCAGAACAGCCATTTCACACACTGTATGACAGTTCCACTGACTGTGCATTCTGTATCTGCTTGTTCAAATACTTCAGGGACACTTATGTTCTCGCCAAAATGTTCTCTCCAGTCGCAGCATCACAAATACAAATAATGTCCTGTGCAAAACGTCACATTCATATTTACCCAAAATTCAATCTGACGTATTTGGTAGCTTTTGAAACTTTGAGATATCCACTAGAGTCACTCCTGGATTTAGCAGAGTTGGACATGAATCCCTCTCAGATCTAATTTCCAGTATTCCTGCAGGGAAGAGGAAGTCAGGAGAGGAGTCGGGGAATGTGTTGAAGAGGATGAAGTGTGAGGCGTCTCTGGATCACCCGCCCTTCTACTACAGCATCCACCGCCACAGCATCCGAGGCATGAACATGCCCAAGTAAGTGACCTCTGACCCCAGCACATCAATGGACCACACTGCTGCACTGGTTGACATTCCATTATTATCATGGACACATCGTCTGTACTTATTTGACTGGATCCAACTGTTCTGCTGTTAAATATTGACCAATTGAGGATTACTACACTGCTGGAAATAGTCCTCAAAAAAATGTCCTCCATCCACCATGTCCCTGGTTGAGGAACTACAGTGAGGAAATTACTGAGACTAAAAAAAGATGAATACAATTTAAAAATATATATATATTTAGGTCTGCAGTAAAAAAAACAACGGGCCTGGAGCTAAAAGCCACACAAAGTCAGAAAGTATTAAGACACTAACACCATGTAGGTTTGCACATGGGATTGGTTGACAAAAAGAAAAATTAAGAATAACACAAGATTTATTCATTGTCCTTTTATAGAAATACTGAAACACAACTTCAGAGGCTTTAGATATAGACATAAAACTGCAGGAACATTTGATCTAACTTTATTATTTCTCTATATTTCTCTTCACAGGTTGAACAAGTTTCTTCAGTACCTGACGGAGGCCGGCTTCAGGGTGAGTCGGACCCACTTCGACCCGACGGGGGTTCGAACCGACGCCACGCTGGAGCAGTTTAAATCTGTCCTCACCAAGTACAGCGTGCCCACGAACACCAACGCCAGCGTCCCTCAGACGAGTGTGAGCATGGACAAGACGCTGTGAGAGAAATTAGAACGTGAGAAAGCCTTCCACGCTTTGAAACTAAATCAGTCGGCTCGTCTGGTTTCTATTCATCTAAAGAAAGTTGCACCGAAACTACGTGGACATGTTTTCACTTTAATATATCTTTAATCAAACCAAAAACAGATTTTTGTATATTAAACTGCGGATCCTGCAGCACAGAGGAGCCTAATTTATCTGCTGTTTCTCTATTTATGTTCAGAGTTCTTATGAAAATCTATGGGTTACAAGTTGTGATTTTATTTTCTAGCTGGTTAATTGTCTTGTTATATTTCTTGTGTGTAAAAAGAAAACGTTAAAAAAACAAAATCAACGCAAAGCCTGATTTGTACTGATTTCCTGTAATCCTTAATTGAGCAAAATACAATTATCCTGTTTTCTGAGCGATAAAATCAATTAATAAATGTTTTATTTTTGTTGCATAAAGGTTTTTTCTCTCTTTCTTTTATAGTAATCCAAGTCACATCAATTACCAAACAGAACATGATGCTATCTCCTCAATGAGAACTCATTTCATTTCAAGCCTTTATTTATGCAGGTGAATCCCATTGAGATCATTGATCTCTTTTTCAAGGGTGACCTGCTGCAAGTAGGTTCCACATGAATACATATAAAACAGAAAAATAAAAAAAAGTACATCATACAGCGAATATTACAGCGATAACAGTTTACATAGCTAGTGACATTTACAGGTTCCCAACAGTTTCCGATTGCATAGCATCTATCCGTGCTTTAAAAACATTTAATGGAACCAAATTGCTCAGTTTCCATTCCTTTTGCAGACTGTTCCAAGTTAATAATAATAATAATAATAACTTTTATTTATATAGCGCTTTTCAATAACCCAAAGTCGCTTACAAAAACAATTAAAAGTACAGAAAGGGGGTGAACAGGCAGAAGACAACATATTGGACAAGAAAATTGAACATGAACATTACATGAACAGGCAAAGGACAACACAGGGGGGGAGCAAGCATAGGACAACGAGCAAAAGACAACATAATGGAAAAGAGGAAAGAAAAAGTTGATGAATGTATGAATAAGAGATGCAGCGTGGGGTGAATAAGAGATACAGCGTGGGGTGTGAGTGAAGTCAGTGGGTTGGGGGGTAGGGTAAGTTGAAGGCTTGGGAGAAGAGGTATGTTTTCAGCTGGGTTTTGAAGGTAGA